AAATCTGTTCACATACACACACACACAAACTTTTTCCAAATTTGATCTCATTCGATTCAGAATGGCTTGAAACGTCGAGAAAACATAAAATTAGCGAATCGGATTTTTTATGAAAACAAACTTCTCTTTTGGGAAGTTAAAAATAATTTAAAAATCAACTACATAATAAAGCAATATTTTACCGTCAGTACGCCTTTGAATCTGAAGCATTTCCCACAAAATTCGCAAGAAAACGGCATAGCTCCAGTGTGAATTCTATGATGTTCTCTAAGAGTGCCCCTCTCTCTAAATTGTCTTCCACACACATCACATTGATGAGGTTTAAGACCAGAATGTACGGTTTCATGTTTCTTGAGCCTCATGGCAGTTTTAAATCTACAAATTTAAATATAAAACTTTTAGTCATTATTATTACTATTATTAGTTTCTAATCTTTTTTTCAATCCTGGTCTAGATTTTTTTTAAAATACTTTTTTTATATTTTCAAATTCTCTGCTCAAGAATTTGTGTGCAAGATTTTCAAAAAATAAAATTATTTTCGGAGATATGGCTGATTGATCAGCAGCTGCTATTTTATGAAAAAAAAATTAACTTGTCCGTAAATCATACCATAGTAATATTATTCTAGATCAATGAATTTTTCAATATAAACTCCTAGCTGTTAAATTACTTAAAATATGTACGAACGTTGAGAAAACTATCAACATTTAATTTTTCTATTTAAAAAATTTCCATAGTCCCATACCAGAATACCACCTTCAATATTTAAAAAAAAAGTTTGATAAATTATTAACAATTTAACAATTTGATAAATCATTAATAATTTAATGTGAATGTAAATAACCAAAAATATATACTTACGCTTTTCCACATATATCACAGCTATATGGTCTATAATTCATATGGGTTAACATATGGTTATCTAAATTCCCTTTCTGAATAAAACTTTTACCACATTGGTCACATGTGTAATCCCTAATGCCTGAAATAATTACGTTGTAGTTCTATATTTATCATTTTATCATTTAGTAATTATTTAAAACTTAATGGGGAATATCTTATTGTTTAGTACCTAAATATTATAAATTTCACATTGTTTTAAAATATTATTTTGTATATATAATTATACAACTTGTTCAAACATTCAGTAAACATTTATATTCATAAATTGAGTGTTGTGACAGAATGCAAAAAATCAATGGGTTAAAAAAAGAAATAAGCAATTATGTAATTAGATTTATTTGAAGACTAAATCAAATAAGATTCATATAAATGCAATACATAGAACTTTTCCTCAAAATGTACATTGAATGTGAAGGAGGACATTTAATTAATCCAAATCTTGTATTAATGTCATTAATTGTATTTAATTTTAATTTGAATTATTTACTTGACATTTATCAAATTTTATACCCATTTAGTAGCTTTTTTTAGAATAATGCAAATAAATCTTACCTGAATGTATTCTTTTATGAGCCATAAGGTTAGGCTTAGTACCAAATCTCTTGGGGCATAGATCACAATGATATTTATTTTTTAGTTCATCAGGCAAATGAGCACGAGAATGAACTTGCAAAGCTGATTGTGCTCTAAAACCTTTTCCACATTTTCTACAAATATAAGGCCTTTTTTCACAGTGTTGGGACCTATGCAAACCTAAAGTTTTGCGATTCGCAAAGTATTTACTGCACATGTCACAACTAGAAACAGATAAAAATTAAAAGTTTGCATAATTATTCATGATCATATCTTGAATATATTTTGAAATGAAGCATTTTATAACTTTTATGTAATTTCGTTTTATAGATATTAATAACATAACTTATAATTGTTATATTTGACAAAAATGTTAATGTCTATATAACCATTTAAACACCCAATGTACTTAAAAGGGATTGATATAAATTACGATTGAAAAAGGTACCTAAACTCACCAAAATCTCAGATGAATTCTATGTGCCCGCACATGACTGATAAATGTGTGATATTTATTATATGGCTTTGTACAATCTGCACACATATACTTTGGAGAACTGCGATGTATTTCTGAGTAATGTGATCTAAAATGTAATATCAACTATGACATGAATAAGAAGCAGCAATAAAAATTTAATATAAAAGATTTTTAAAACTGCATGCACTCTCTTTCTAGTTAAATATCTATCCTCAGTATGATTCTTCACAATCATACTAATCTTATATTTGAGTTAAGTATGTTATTATAAATTAAAATATAAATACAACATAATTACTTTTGTAATAATTGCAATTGAGAACAGATCGAGAACTGTGAAATACTACACATTAGATATGATTATATTGACTGCTAATTGCAGTACATGTTTTATTGATTGCTGTACAAACATATGCATAAATAACATAAAAAATAAGAAGTATTGTTTTTGTTCTGTATTGGTTTATTCTGTATGTAACTGTTCAATTAATAAAATATAATTTCCACCAGTGAAAATTGGCAATTGTGCAGACATTTGGCCAACATTCTTCATTAGTATTATTGAAATAATAATAAATCTTAGTTATTTTGTAAATATTTTTAATTTGTATTAACTCATATTAGCAAAAGAGTTTTTATCTAATTTTATGGCTAATTTTAATGCCAATAGTGAATTAATAGTGGATAAGGTTTACGTTTTATTATTCTATACCAAACTTTTTAAACAAAATTTTGTAATTTGCAGTAAAAGGCAGTTCACTTAATTTTTTCAATGTTATATCACATACTTCAAAATTAATTATTTAGTATTATGTTAGATTTTTTTATTCTTTCGTATTGAGTATATTTTGTTTCATTTATTGAATTTTGTGTAGTATGTTTTTTATTTCATTGTGTATTATTTTCTTTTCACTAGCATCAAGCATACAAGTTTTAAAAACAAAACATATAAATAAATGTTGACCATTGACCATTTACCTTAATTCCATAACCGTCTCACACTTCTTACTACAAACAGTACATAGCCAAGGATATGTGTCCCAACTATCTCTTGGCTTCGTCCCATTAAGTGAACCATCATCATTTTTCTCTGAGTCAGAAACACCTTCTAATTCTTCATCAGAACATATGTCAGTTTCACATTCACTATCGTCTTCACATTCTGATTGTGCTTTTATATAATTCTTCATAGATTCCTATAATTTGATATTGAAAAATTCATTACATAATATAAAAATTGATAATATTTTATACAACATTTGAGTATTCAAAATTTAACTCATTAACTTAAACATGACATTTTTTCAAAATCTCATTGTGCATAGTTTAAAATAATAAAAACAATATGAATGTTTCTCAGGAATCTTTTGAACTCAAAATTCTCATTAATTAATATTATAAATCATAAAAAAAAAGTACCTGGCATTCATTCGAAATTACATTTACTCTTGATCGATGTTTTTTAACTTTAGGTTGTGAACTTTCAACTTCCTCTTGAAATGCAGTGATACAGTTATCAAATTTTATGTTCTCATTGTCTTTTTGCTTAAATGCATCTTTTATTATAACTAATTGTCCATCTTTTATATCAAGTTCATCTATAATTAAAATAAATGATGAATTAAATAGTTACTTTGATGTTGAAAAATTTATCGTAGGAAATTAATTTGACCTATTCCCTCAAGTTTTAATTCGATCAAGTCTGCTTCCTCCATTGTTGATTTAGAAGTTTATGTACACAATTCATTAAAAATTATAAATACATAGCACAAGAAGAAACAATACAATAACCAACAAACTAGTGTAGTATGTGTCTGATAATTTTAATATTATTGCTTCACAACAATTAGAACAGTGGCAAATTTATTATTTATTCTAAAGAAATTATTAAGACATCAAAATATTGTTTTATATAAAATCAAAATATATTTTATTCATTCATATAATTATTTAATTCTTGCAAATGTTTTGATCTTGCAACATTCATCTCAATTATATATTTGTATAGCAATTAAATATAAATTAAATAATTTAAAACATTATTTTTGTTGCGACAGATTCGTAATAGTGTATTTACAGCCGCACGCAAAATTTATACACAAACAGGAGAAAACGTCAAACTGAAAAAGCTAATAATTTGATGCGGACTGTATCAAAATGGCGGACTAGCAAAAGATAATTTTTAATTAATAATCAATATGAATTGAAGAAAAAAAAATATAAACCAAAATTAGAAGTTAAATTAATTTATCAATAATATAAGAATAAACAAAAAAAAATATTTTAACAATGTGGTTTTGGATATTATTAAGATAATTTTTGTAATCACTTTGATATTAGTAGCGGATCTCTTTACATACATCTAATTTAATCTAAAACATCTTTTTTATGTAAATATTTAAATCATTATAAATAATAATGATAACAACTATTTAATTATTTATCGCAAATATCCCAAAGAACAAAATCCTTTACCCAGTGGATATTTAAAATAAATATATAAATATTTGTGTGGGGCTTATTTAGAGTGAAAATAAAAACTGGCTTTTGCATACTTTCATATACTCTATAAAACTTCAAGTATCATTTATTGAAATACCTAGACAATATTAGAATATGATATAATAATGCTATATATGATATAATATGCTATCAATATGCTATCAATATTGGAATATGATTTCATATGTCATGTCTTTTACAGTTCTTCAAGTGGACACCAGAGCGCCTGTTTTAAAAGAATCATGATCATAGATAAATAAGCATAATCATGATCATTTATTATGGTTAAATCATATTAATTAAGTAGGAATCATATTAATGTGGTTGGTGCATTTGGTGATTTGGAGCTTATACTCTTTTTTTATCTATGATTTGGTGCTTCATTTTTTTCTTTTTTTGAATGTTGGTGTATTATAGTCCAACATCTTTGCAGATTTTAGATTCGTGTTCTATGATTGGATTTAATGGCCTTGCCCATAAGTTCCTTATCTATGGCCTTGCATATATGTATAGAACTGTCAATGTCAAACTTATCGTCTGTCACATTTAAAATCTTGTGAAATAGAGTACTTCTTAGAATTGAATTTTATTTTTAATTTATTTAATATGTGATTCATTTTTAGTGCCATAACTATTATTGCTTTATCAAACTGGTGTATTTTTTTCGAAGTGTTTAATCCTTAATTGTCAAAAATGTCGATTATAACTAAATCAGTTTGCAGATATTTAGAAAATGCTTTATACTTTAAAACGTTAGTTTTAATACATATATTAATTTCCGATGTAGTTATTAATAAGCATATGTTAAAAACTATTACCTATTACTAGTATCTGGAAAGACCTATTTAATTATCAAAATCATTTTTTTTTTGACCTACAAAATAACTCCGATGTTTAAATACACATTGCGCATTAAATAGTGGGAACTTTTAAACACTCTTGTATTATATATGAAAATTTAAATTTAATATAATAACATCTTTATATAGTAGCAAAATATAACTGATTATTTTTCAATTAGGCCAAAATATTCTGCGTGCAGATTTCTTTCATTGAATTCTACCAGAGAAACTAAAGAAACTAATGATACTATGCAAGATGGTAGTTGTTATTTATACATAATTATCTATAGCTTTGAAATTGAGATTAACTAAAATAATTTTAGTGAAGAACCGTTTGATGAGAATTATGGGAGTGGAACCAGGTTTTAAACCATTATTACAATCTAGAGAACACTTAGCAAAATTTACACCCAAATCTCAATCAGAACTTCCTAGTCGCTCAATGCAAGATAGTTTTACTTCTGCAGTAATTCCTCTGAGCTCAGATACTACGTTGCAAGATAAATATGTAACATTTTTAGGCCATGTTAGATTAGGGAGGCTCATGGAGGATATGGACTTATTTGCTGGTATTCTTTAAATACATCTATAAAATACATCTATATTTTTAAATAGATTTAAGATGAATTAAGGTGACCATATTTTTTTATTTTACAGTAGAAAAACAGTTTCTTATATAATTTTTTTTTCTAATCAGAGTTGCAGATTTAGTAAGAATTTTATTATTTGATTATTATTTTGACTTTTCTACTTATGATATATTATATGTTATATTTCCGATCTGTATATTTTTGTTGCTTTTGAGTCTTGTGAGCACTTAATCGTTTTCATAATTCTTGCTTATTTACCTATTAATTTTCGAAAAAACTGGGATAATCTGGGACAAGTATTGCTTTTATCCCGGCCAAACGAGACTTCTGGTTACCTTAGATGAATAGATTATTTGTAAAGTTTTGTTTCAAGTTACAAAATGTCAATAACACATTTATGACTTGAATTTTTCTGCTCTTATATCTCAGAAATAAATAATTGATGTTTAAATAGCTGTTTCTAAACTCCAAGTTGAACAAAAATAGCATTAACCATAATTGCTAGAGTTTTTGTGCACATTTTAATTTATTTACTTACTATTTAGCCCTTTACATTTGCTGTTTTTGTATAAATTTTAGTGTGGGTTGTCAATAAGCATTTAGTTATACCAAATCTGCAGGAAGGTATACCATTGCCATATACTTTAGTAACTGTATTGGTCGATGAAATAGATTTCACAGATTATATACCGAAGGTATAATATTTGTTACTAGAGTATATATATTTGTAATCTATATATTATATAATTTTAGCATGATGCTGATATTAGGTTGTCAGGCCATGTGAGTTGGGTAGGAAAATCATCAGTAGAAGTAGTTGTGTGGTTAGAACAGCAATCCCATGGTTCATGGCAAAAAATTACTCGTGCATTATTTTTAATGGCTGCTAGAAATCCTTCAAATACTGGAGCAGCGGTTGTGAATCCTTTGCAACCCAGTACAGATGAAGAGAGACAAATCTTTGAAGGAGGCCTAAGTAATTTGAGTGTTTATTCTATAAGTTCATGAATCAATTTATTTCAATTTCAAAATATTATTTAAGATCGCAAGATGAGGAGGCAAAAAATTTCTCAAGAATCATTATTTAAGGTCATACCAAATGAATCAGAGCAGCGTACTATTCATGATTTGTTCATACAGACAATAGAAACAAATGATCAATCCTTTACTTCACGTAGCTTACCTCCTTCATCTATGTGGATGGAAAATGCAAAGTTATCAAATTTAGTTTTTTCCCATCCAGAAGATCGAAATCTTCATAATAAAGTATTTGGTGGGTTTTTGATGAGACATGCTCTGGAACTTTCATGGGCAGCAGGTTATCTTCATAGGTAAGTATTTCACAAATAGTAACAGATAAGTAAAAAAAAAACATAAAATTTAATTACAGTAAACATCGGCCAAAGTTAGAGCACATCAGTGATATCAGTTTCCATAAGCCTGTGGATGTATCTTCTTTACTGAGAATGCATGCATATATAGTATACACAGAGCTTAAGTATATGCAAATAGTGGTTTATACTGATGTATATGATCCAAATACTGGCTCCAGCAACACAACAAATGTATTTCATTATACATATTCCATTCCTGATAAAATGCAACAGGTTATTCCAAAAACTTATCATGAAGCCATGATGTACCTTGATGGTCGAAGAAGATTTCAACATGTAAAAAATCTTAACACATTAGGGGTATAAATGCCATAGTTTTCAACTTTCTTGCCAAATGGAATACTTAACATTGTCAATATTGTACTTAACTTATTTATAATTGTCCTTGTTATGACTAATATTTATGAATCATATATATATATGATATATATATGATTCATAATCTTCTGCTATTATATATATATATATATATATATATATATATATATATAATAGCAGAAGTTGTATTTTTAATAATAAAAATAACTACTGGATAAATGCAACATAATTTATTTTATATATTGCAAAATATTGTTCAACAAAATATGGTAATATAATCATTTTTATTCTGTAACTATTTTAAATATATTCATTATCATAATGCAATACCCATTAAAACAGCAATTATAGTGTAATAATATAAGTTAGTGAATCATAATAAAGTAATAACAAAAAAAAAATCAAAGTCAATTATCCTTGTCTGCCAAATACTAGTCACCATTATAATCAGGCTTGTAAAATTTTAAATAATATACCCTTCATTAAAATTACATTTGTTTATGATGTCACAGTTTAGCGGATTATAATAAATAATCTTCTCTTTACAATTGGCAGCCTTATTAACATTTATTGTGAAAACTCAATTAGCTAATAAAAGATGATTAATAATATATGTTATATTACAAATTTTTAACAATGCGTTATTATCACAATTACTAAGAATAAATTTCATCTAAAGCTTTCACGTTGTAAACATTTCAAAACATTTCTTAAAAATAATTTTATTTGTATACATATGTTAAGATCCTAAGCCAAATAATTTTCAAATAAATTTTTTCTTAGTATTTATGAAAAATAAGCACACTTTGGAGGCCAATATCTAAATAAATTTTTCACATTGTTCCAACTATGTAATGTTCTTCTCATACTGAGGCGTCATATTTTCTTCTGAAGTATACTCTTCAAATGATTCATTAATTTGCAAAGATATTTTTGAATGGTTATGTTAATTTTCAATTCACATTCACTAATCACATTTTGGTTACCAGTAACAATTATATGACGCACTTGAGTTGTACAACTTGTCTAAAATAATGCTTTAACAAATGTTTATATTTTCATTATAAAAATTCACTAATTTTTTTTATTTAAATTCAACTATTTTTTGAGTTTATGATATTTTTAATGTCCATTCAATTGCACACTTTAAGAGTCCACAGTTGTGCATTTATGAAAAGTTGAAAAATTAATATTAGGAAAACTGAAATTGATACAAACTGGCACATCTTATCCATAAAACTTTTCAAAAATTTATACAACAGTCATATAAATCCGAGTAGGAATATTGTTCTTTTCATAAATTTCTTGAAGATCTATATGTCCGCATTTTTACTTTAATTTGCTGAAAAAAAAACAATTTTTTCAGAAATGTCTAAATTTAGCACGCAGTTGAACGGGTATTCTTTTAAAACAAGTTAAAACTTAATTTGTATAAACATATCACTGTGAAGAACTGCTCATTAATCACTATTATAATCCATGTCGTCTCCACAGTTAACATTTCAAATAAAAGGACAATTTTATAACACTAATTGTTTGTTCCTTTACAGACTCGGTAGCAGTTCATTTACTGATTTCTTCCACGTCCACGTCCTCTATTTCCATGTTCTCCCCTATCCTACATTTAATAAAAACATACAGAATTAGTTTTATCAATTTAATCATTATTACTATTATTATTATTATTATTATTATTATTTAAATTATCAGTTATTAATTTATTTAATCCTTTTTTGATTTTCTTCTTCTTTTTTTTCTTTTTTTTGATTTTAATACCCACTGTCAACTTATAGATTTTTATGTAATCTGATTGTTGAAATATTCATTAAAGAGAAAAGTGTAAATTGATAAATTGTTTAAATAAAACATTGTTAAAATTATACACAAAAAATAGGATAAAACTTATACATATATGTGTGTGTATATATGTATGTGTATATATGTATGTATGTATGTATGTATGTATATATATATATATATATATATATATATATATATATATATTAGGGTGGTCCTTAAAATGGTCATTTTCGATTTTCTTTGCTCCCAGGGGCTCAAATGCTTCCAAATAGATAAAAAACAATTCTCTGAAAGTTTTAGCTTTTAATATTAATGTTTAGATAGAGCGCAATTCAATCAAAGTTTTGTATGCAAATAGCATGGAAAATTTTTCAAAAATTTTAAAAATGTTTTTTGGATGTAATTTAGTGAACAAATGAATGAATAAAACTTATTCATTTGTCGCTAAGTTATACCTAAAACATTTTTTTAAAATTTTCAAATTTTTTTCCATGCTCTTTCCGATCTTCATATTGATTTTATAAACAAAATAATACAAATCAACAGTATAAAACATTTTCAAAAACTACAACATCATTCAAACGATATAGTCTCTCAGCTTCTTGAGACATCAACTTCAAGAAGACTGAAGAAGAAGCTGCCCGAAGATAATATGGAGGAACCTTAGATAATATGAACAGAATAATTGAATTATTTATTGAAGTGATTCTCTAAATATGATTGTAATATTGATCCGATAAATTTATATGTGTGTTTGCAAGTGTGTGTGTATGTGTGTGAGTGAATGACATAAGCCAAATAGCTCATAGAATAGTCATGTATTCTGATTGCTATTGAAAATAAAAATTAAAAAAAAAAAAAAAAAAAACAATGCTCTTTCCATACAAACTTCGATTGAATTACGCTCTATCTAAAAGTTAATATTAAGAGCTAAAACTTTCAGAGAATTGTTTTTTATCAATTTGGAACCATTTGAGCCCCTGGGAGCAAGGAAATTCGAAAATGACCATTTTAAGGACCACCCTAATATATATATATATATATATATATATATATAAATTTGATGTTGAAATGTATGATTGTATGTATTAATGTATCAATTTCTTGATAATATATATATATATATATATATATATATATATATATATATCACTAAAACAATGTCATTTTATTTAATAATTTCTATACTATTCTAATTTGAAGGATGAACAAATGTGATTATAAAATGAAACTTTAAGATAATCATCTTTTACCTTTGGATGCAATCCATGATGCATTCTGTGACCACCATGACCACCATCATGATCCCTATGACCTCGTGGTCCATCACGATAGTGATCTCGAGAGTCCATTCTTTGATGGTGGTTATCTCTAGAGTCCATTCTCTGATGATGATTATCACGAGAATCCATCCTCTGATGATGATTATCTCTGTCCATTCTTTGATGATTATCATGGTGATATCCACCATGCATATCATGATTACCTCGATCTCGATAATTGCCACTACTATTATTTTGATGATCACGCATTCCTCTATGTTTATCATATCCTCCATGATGTGAAGATTTATGATCATTCCCATAATCTCCATGGCCCTTATTATCAAAATTTCCACTGTTTTGCATTTCATGCTGCACTGGCACTTTCCTCGAATCTTCCTCTTCTTGGCGTTTTTCATAATGAATAAAGTCATCAAAAATAGATGTAGAATGTCTGTAACTATGCAGAATACGTAATACTTGCTGACCCTTAGGATGTGGCACCTCCTGCGTATCTCTTGAATTTGTCACTGGTTTATTTTCATTGTTCTCCAAGCGAATATGGCGCAGCTGGACATTGGGAACATCTTTAACATATATCCATCGCACTTTAAACTGCCCTTTCCACTTATTCTGCGACCACACACTTGAATTGCTAGAATAGTCCACTGCACTGACCATCTGTGCCATTCCACAAAAATGTCCTGATCCATTAACAGAGAAGAACAAGTATACCATGCCACCATTAACCTTTTCGCGCTCTCTATAAGCTTGGTCCAATCGTTTATTGCCATGTTCTGTTGAGCACCAAATTTCATATTTGATACTTCTATGAATATCATCTTCAGAATATGACTTTATAACAAAAAATCGAGCATTAGGAGCGGTTAAATCAAACTCTGTAGGATTATAATTGTTTTTCACTCTCAACTCATCTAAAACTGGATGAGGAACCAATGGAAGGGAAATGGGTTGCTGTTGAATTACTTGTTGATTGGCCATAGGCCCACTTTGTACTGGATTTCCTGTCATTGGAAGCATTCCTGCATGAGGAGGCATATTCATATTTTGGTTCATGTGTGAAGGAATAATTACTGGTTGAGAAGGATATCCATGGTTTGCCTGCATAATATGTGGTTGAGTTTGACCCTGCATTGGTTGTGATATATTCCTCGCCATATTCATTGATTGAGGCCTCAGGTGAGGTATTCCCTGTGGTCCTTGCTGATTTTGGGTCAACCCAGTTACTGCTTGCCATGTAGGCCTAACATTGTTCACTGCTGGAGGAGCACTATTCATAGATGCTGTAGATGTTTGCTGTTTTATTGGAACAGGTGCAGGAGCAGGTGTTGTTAATGGTGGTGGTGTAGGAGAGGGAGGGACATTTTGAACAGGTGGAGGTGGTGGTGGTACACTGGGTCCATTTTTATTAGATGTATCCCATGTTCCAATATCCATGTTATGTTTCCCAGGAATCATAGGTGGTGGTGGCATACCAGGTCCTTTCTTTTTCAAACCTGTGCTTTGAGTACTAATTTGAGGCTTTGCTGGTTGGCTAGCAATGGAAGCCCATGTCATCTTTTTAGGGGCAGAATTTGAAACACCATGGCTCAAAACCAAATTGTCTTTATCTTTCAAACCATCTTTATCTTTATTTCCGATAGATGTTGAAACCATCTGTCCCATTGAAGGATTTTGAAGCATTTGATTGCCATGAAGGCTGTTGGGCATGTCCAGATTAAGATTCTGCATACCATGCTCCATTGTTTTAAGCCCAAGACTCGAATCAGGCATGCCCAAGCCAGGATTTTGTGCATACATACTCTGATCTGTACGGTAGTAGTCATCATAATGAGGCTTACGCTGCTGATTATGAGAGCCCCATGTAGAATAGTCACCGTTGCCAGGAAAATAATTAAAAGTTGAAGGCTGAGCAAAAGCTGAAAAAATAGTATTCAAAATATGACTGATCAAGTGTCTCCACTACGACGTCATAATAGTAAAAAAATAGTGTACTCCATAACTAACCATCGACTCCACCATAACTATCATGAGTAGCGTAGCCACCTAAAAATGTCATGGGATCGCCGCCCGAAGCCGCAGCGGTACCATTAGACCAAGTGCCGTCACTAACACCGAACGCCTGGTAAGAATAGGCCGTACCCGCAGCGGTAGTCGTGCCGTAATAGCCGGCCGCCTGACCGTAATGATCCGCTCCGCTGGTCGCCGAATAAGCGCCCGCCGCGCCGCTCGTTGTGTGGTTGCCGCTGTTCACGCTCGAAGTATGCGATGCACCGCCGCTTTGATGACGCCATGATTCGAAATCAGTTTCGCTGCTGCCGCCGCCAGATTCTAAATGTTCTGCTAATTTCAAATACGATTGAGTAACATAAGTAATAAAGAATATTTTATTACTTGATCAAATTTGATTCGAGACGCTTAATATAAAAGCAAACAAAATTCTTTTTGATCTATTACATAATTTATGTCATTTATGATATAGCACACTATTTTTTTTTATTTTAATATTAAATGGTCTCTATAATATGCAGGTAAAACATATAATAAACGTAATTGAAGTTTGGTTATTAACAAAATACATAATAAAATGTATTGGGAAACGTTGAGCACAATGGGCTAAATTGAAGGAAGTCACGTACAAGATATGTAATATCTCATTAATATTATTAAATCAGATTAGATTTATCATTGCATATAAAATTAAACATAAAAATCTGTCAAATATTATTATTTATTCAATGCAATCAATTATTTTATCAATTTGCAATAAAAAAACTTTCAACAAATAACCCAAGGAAAATGACGTCTTATTTGAATAGGTCAGATAAAAGTATAGTTGTTAATTATTGAATCAAATGTAGTTAACAGCAGTTAATTTATTTTTGCCAAAATATTGGTCTATAGAGTAACTATAAGTTTTTATATCTCACAAATAGTAGATTTTGTAATGCTTTATTAGACGTCATTCATCATGTGTTAGACATCATTTTCACAGTAAAAACTACAAACTAATAAACTATTCAATAACAAATAGGAAAAATAAATGCTATATAAATAAATGTTTGTATTAGTTATGTACATTAGTAACTAATGTTAGGTCAAAAAAAAAATAATAATAAAAATGGAATCATTAGATATAACTAAATCTTCATCCTTATTTAATATAAGGACTCTTATTTCTAATCTACTTGTCTAAATCAATCTATTCTGTTTGTATTCCTTGATGAAAATTGTTACTAAAACACTAATTTATAATATCTTGTGAGAATGATTTTAATACATTTTAATAAGATGTTATGAAACTGTAATATATTTGATGTTTTATTAAGACAAACATATTTCATTCAATATTTGCCGTTGGATGAATTGATAGTCCGAAATTTAAGTGCATTTTATTCTCTGAAACTTTTACTTTCTCAATAAGTAGACACAAAAGTAAAGCAGTCATATTACTTTATATATAATAATTCCAACATAAATATTCTGTAACTAATTCTTCAAAAATAAAATCTATTATAATTGTTAAAAGTTTCAATTGATAACAACAGATAATAATAAATCAATGAACTAAAGTCTAAATAGAGAAAGAACAATCACATTATTTTTAAAAACTCACAAAACAATTCAAATAAAACAAAAAAAAAATACTTGAAAGTTAGAAAACATTCAGAGCGAATATTGCACGCAATTGATAATCATATGATTAATATTAGTTCATTGTTGCTTCAATGGGGAAAGAAATTTTTGCACAACTTTTAATTTTCAACATTATACATTTCACTATTTTTATCACGTTAAACAAATAATTATCTGCATAAACAATATATTATAATAGCTACAGAATATTTTTCATAATTATTTAGTATAGTTTATAGTTAATAACTTAAGAATTCATTTTAATAACAGAAATAACAAAAAAGTCTAATATTAAGTGTACTTTACCTTGGTTGCCTTGGCCTTTCATCCGCTATAAGTTCATGAAAAGAAGTATTGAAGATTTATTAAATATATTTCCAGTAATTTTTCATTATTTTAACCATATTTTATTATTATTTCACACTTTGTACCTGATCTGACACGCCTGCTGACATTGGCCACAATTTTATTGTCTTTTCAATACAGTATCTTAAGATTACACAAACTTATCTTAGCACACAAATATACTTCAACAGTCAATTTTACACCATAAACAATATATTGATTTTATTATTTACTAAGTTAGAAAATTATAGTTATTGATAATAAGTTATCATAAATGGCCGACATTAATGGGAGAGAATAAGAATACGTGGAGAAATTATTTCTTCACATTTGTTTTGTTATTTCTTAGTGTTGCCAGAGAAAGCATTAATTATTTAGATATTTGGGATCAAAATATGAATCTCAGTAGAGTATGATTTGGTATTCGCTTTTCGTTAAATCACTTGTTATTAATTAATTATATTTGTCATGAATTAATTTTAATTTAATGTGCGTAATTCAATGTCGACGATTGCGTGTACAATACATTCTATGATAAACTGTACTTCTGTGACACACTTATTTATCTATGTTGTACTTTATGTTGATGTTTATTTATCTATGGTAAATGCAAACTTTCGTTTTAACGTTTTAACAGTTTTCACGTTTTTAATGCACCCAAGTTTTTTATATTCTTGCATGAATTTTTCTTGTTTTTTTTTCTACTACAATACAAGCAAGCAATGGAGCAAATAAATATTTGATTTAATATTTCAAAAAATCAGTTTAGAGAAAAAAAGGCAGTGTATATTTTTCATTGTTTACATTTGATATTTCATGTAATGCTGCAATATAGCAGATAAATAGATAAACTTACAAAAATATATTTCGTAGAAATGAACCTAATTTATTAACAACTTCAAGCAAAAGTTCAAGCTTTCATAAAAAAAAAGAGTGCGCGTAAGGATCACACGCGATTGAAGTAAAACTTTTAATATTGTATGAGTAGGCAATTAAGATAAAAATAAAAAAAACATCATATTTGAATTTTAAAAATCATTTATTAATAATCACATAACATCAATAACACAGTTTAAAACAACATCGATAGATTAATTGCTATCATATTTCATATATGATATAATAGGTTTGTGATAACTAAAATGAGAGACATAAATTTTGCTTTGTAAACTATGTACATTTCTGGAGAAAACTGCATCAATAGTCGTGCCATATCTTGTGGTTGATTCAAATGGAGAATTATTCATTGTTAAATTAAATTTATTATTTAAAAAATCAATTAATGGTTGAGATTCTTCTGAACGAAAATTGACATTGAAATCTCCAGCAAGAATTAATGGTATATCGTTGTGATTAGTGTTTAAAAGTTTTGCACTCTCATAAGAAAAATGAAGTAACTGCTGATGAAGAAATTTAATAATATTTGATATGTTTTTATTGGGAGAAATGTAAAGGACGACTATAATTAATGTTTGATTCTGTGTGTGTAATATCACCTACTTGTGTAATTTCATTAGGAATATCCAGTAATATTGTTGGCGCAAGAAACTGCATAGGAGTGGCATTATGAAGAGTATCTGAACATGAATGATAGACAGCTACACCACCTGCTCTTGAGTCCGATCGTTTGTATTGAGTAACGCAGTAATAGTTCTGAATATCAATTCGTTCTTCATTATTAATCCAAGTTTCCGAAAATAACAAAAACGTACAACGTTGTAGCACTTTATCTTGCAGATCAGGCAAATGAGCTCGTAAACTTGGCAGTTAAAGGAAAACAATTAAATGTCGTTCAAACTTATTATCTCACTCAATTTTTCTTCTTGTGTTATTAATCTACAAGTTGAAAGTCTTTGGAATTCAGTTTTTAAGTTCATTAATCCTGCTGGCCGTTTTCTTCCATGATAAAATTTTTTGAAATGATGAACAATCCATTAATGCTGGTAACTCGTGATAATGCAACATATAGAAGCTGCTGATTATGTGTTTTATTGTATTCATATACAATTTCATCAAAAGTACCACCTTGTGATTTGTGTATTGTGAGTGCACAAGCAGACACTAAAGGAAAATGATTTCTTTTGACAAATATGATTTTATTTCTATTCATTGGAATAGATGAAGATTTCCTGAGAATCGGCACAGCTGTCCTACTGATATTAAGAGTTTGAATATGATGTGCAGCTTTCTTTCTTATTTTGTTACCTATCTTACCAGGAAATTCAAACCATAAACGTAGAAGTTCATCATTATCGCCACGTTCTATGTACACTAATTTTCCTACACAACCATTAGCTAAGCCATCACTTACATCAATATTAGTTGTTATTATGTAAAATTTATTCAGAACTAAAATTCTTTCATACGGCAAACTCCCGGTATCAATAACCGATTTTTGTGAAACTGCTGACGAATGTATGATTGTTGATCTGTCGCATGGCAACCTACATAAATATCCGTGGCAGTAGATATTATTTTGTCTTCAACGAGATTCAGTATAAATTTATTATATTCCATGACACAATTATTCTCTAAGAAAAGTCTTATTCCATGAGGACATAATACAGTAACCTCTTCTTTTGTAAAAAAAAAAAAGAGTGCGCGTAAGGATCACACGCGATTGAAGTAAAACTTTTAATATTGTATGAGTAGACAATTAAGATAAAAATAAAAAAACACCATATTTGAATTTTAAAAATCATTTATTAATAATCACATAACATCAATAACACAGTTTAAAACAACAACGATAGATTAATTGCTATCATATTTCATATATGATATAATAGGTTTGTGATAACTAAAATGAGAGACATAAATTTTGCTTTGTAAACTATGTACATTTCTGGAGAAAACTGCATCAATAGTCGAGCCATATCTTGTGTTTGAATCAAATGGAGAATTATTCATCGTTAAATTAAATTTATTATTTAAAAAATCAATTAATGGTTGAGATTCTTCTGAACGAAAATTGACATTGAAATCTCCAGCAAGAATTAATGGTATCTCGTTGTGATTAGTGTTTAAAAGTTTTGCACCCTCATTAGAAAAATGAAGTAACTGCTGATGTTCAATTCAATAATATTTGATATGTTTTTATTGGAGAAAGAAATTTAAAGGACGACTATAAACAATGTTTGATTCTGTGTGTTCATACAGCGGACAACTGCAATATCACCTACTTGTGTAATTTCATTAGGAATATCCAGTAATATTTTTGGCGCAAGAAACTGCATAGGAGTCGCATTATGAAGAGTATCTGAACATGAATGATAGACATTAGACAGCTACACCACCTGCTCTTGAGTTTGATCGTTTGTATTGAGTAACGCAGTAACAGTTCTGAATATTAATTCGTTCTTCATTATTAATCCAAGTTTCCGAAAATACAAAACGTACAACGTTGTAGCACTTTATCTTGCAGATCAGGCAAATGAGCTCGTAAACTTTGGCAGTTAAAGGAAAACAATTAAATGTCGTTCAACTTATTATCTCACTCAATTTTTCTTCTTGTTTTATTAATCTACAAGTTGAAAGTCTTTGGAATTCATTTTTTAAGTCCATTAATCCTGCTGGCCGTTTTCTTCCATAATAAATTTTTTTTTGTCGTTGTTTTAGAATGATGAACAATCCATTAATGTTGGTAACTCGTGATAATGCAACATATAGAAGCTGCTGATTATGTTTTTTTGTATTCATATACAATTTTATCAAAAGTACCACCTTGTGATTTGTGTATTGTGAGTGCACAAGCAGACACTAAAGGAAACTGATTTCTTTTGACAAATATGATTTTATTTCTATTCATTGGAATAGATGAAGATTCCTGAGAATCGCACAGCTGTCCTACTGATTAAGAGTTTGAATATTGATGTGCAGCTTTCTTCTTATTTTGTTACCTATCTTACCAGGAAATTCAAACCAAAACGTAGAAGTTCTCATTATCGCCCACGTTCTATTTACACTAATTTTCCTACACAACCATTAGCTAAGCCATCACTACTATATCATCAATATTAGTTGTTATTATGTAAATTTATTCAGAACTAAAATTATTTCATACGGCAAAGCCCCGGTATCAATACCGATTTTTGTGAAACTGCTGACGATGTATGATTGTTGATATGTCGCATGTCAACCTACACAAATATCCGTGGCAGTAGATATTATTTTGTCTTCAACGAGATTCAGTATAAATTTATTATATTCCATGATACATTTATTCTCTAAGAAAAGTCTTATTCCATGAGGACATAACATAAAAAACGTGATTCAATTAATGCAAGTTCATATAGGGTTTAGCGCGTTCGACTTACGCATGACATGACGGGAGTGGATCCTCGCGACATCAGCGCTTACGGCGTCGTAGTGTTCATTCAACTTCACGTTGGCGTTTTCGTTGCATTTGTACGATTTACACCCCGTGTCGCGCCTAAAAATTTTTACACCCATATCGCGCCTAAAGAAGTTTTACTTCAAAAACGTGATTCAATTAATGCAAGTTCATATAGGGTTTAGCGCTCGACTTA